TTTTTTTGGTTCTTCAGACTAATATTTGAGATACACAGGCTGTACATATCTTGGCCAACTGCTGGCTAATCAATCTGCTTATCTGAAAGTCATCGCCTGAATACCTTCTTCATTAGAGCCACCGACTTCCAACTCATTGGCCAGATGATCTTGCAACGATGCCTTAATTGAATAGCATGCGGCGAGATAAATGCTTTGGCAGAAATGGTTGGCCAATTCTGGTTGGACTCGGCCGAGTCATTGCCATAAATTGCTCATAGGCCGATAAATTATGGAATGGGCACAGTGGGCAGTCAGTCGATTGTGGCAGCATCTACCCCAGATGCCAAATAGATATCTGACTTGGTTCTCGGGCTAATTGAAAGACCGAGACTACTAGCTTCTATTTATACTCTTGCTTTTTTTCTCTCCTTTTCTTTTAGCCATTGTTTTTGGCCTTTTGTTTTGGGTCTAAACCTTAACCCTTTTTGGCCGGATTTCACTTTTCATTTCGCATTTCTGGGATTCTGCTTTAAAGTATCTTTACTTTGTCTTCTGTATCTTTTTTTTGGCGGATAATGACCTGGCCCAATCAAAGAGAAATAATTTTCGCTGGTCGGGCAAATAAATTACAGTTATTAGTGGGTGAGATTTTTGTAAAGTTTTTATGCCACACTCCCATTTTCCCCGCCTCCCCCTACAACAACCTAATTGCTAGTAAAAGTTTTAATAAATCATCGCAGAAACAGAAACAGAAAACCCTTTCCCGAAAAATAAAAAAAAACAAGCAAGTTAGAAAGCCAGACAAGATTGGCGGCGGCTTCTCTACTTTCTTCTCTGTTTTTCGGCCGGATTGTTCGGATTGGATTGGATTGGATTCGATTGGATTGCCGGCTAGCATTGTTCGATTTTTCCTAATCATATATGAGTGCACTCGTCGTCCCCCCCAGCCTTCTTTCTCTGGGATGGGGCTTTCTGCCTCACTGCTTTCATTTGCATTCGATAGATGGCTTCCGCCCCGGCAGCTGGCTCTTGCTACCCGTTTTCCACTGAAATCATCATCGTCATCAGAGTCGTCATTGTCTCTCTGGGCTATCATCTTTGGTCTGGCAGTGCCTTACTGGAATCTGGAATTAGCATAACTTTGGGCGTCTAATGTCGTTCCTCTAACGGGTCGCCTTCAATCAGCTCCGTTGGCGGTATGTGGTTGTGTTAACAAGCAATTGATAAAACAAAGCGGTAAATGCTTGGCCAAAACATGTTTGTGATGTAATGGATCATGCCCCCCGGGGCGGTAGTGGAGTTACGAGCTTGAAGAACACTTCCTGATGCATGAGGCATGAGGTGTTGACTTTCTGATGGAAGAGCCATCATACTGATGAGTGCGGTTTAGGCCAGGTGGCTTTAAAATATTTTTTTTGAAAGTATTTGAAGGAAGGAAGCTTTTCCAGCTCCAGCTGTCCAATTTCCATGCCTCATTTCCCCTCATTTTCCACTCGTGGCAGCTTCTTTGGATGGCCAGCAGCCCACACACACGCACCTGCCGCCCAGACGGACCTCGATAAGTGCTCTCTGGCATGTCAATCATGCTCCTGACCAAGTCACGCCTTCTTCCGATCTCTTAGCTCTATAATATATATATATATATATATTCGGTGGCAGCTGCCAATGTCTGTTTTACACTCTTTCAGAGGGTTTATCGCGAGTCTTTGATTCGAAACCGCCTCGGAGTCTATGATTTGTTGTTTTTATTTTCTCGTTATGATTTCTAGAAATCCACATTAACTGCAATTCACTTTTTTCAGCCCCAAGTCAAGGCTATGATTATATGCTCTATGACTTGTGAAATTGTTGGTGTCATTTTGTGGCAGAGAGGCAGAGGCAGAAAGGCACGAGTCGAACTGGGGGCTGGGCCATCGAAAGTTGGCTCGAAAGTGATCGAATTGGGTTGGCTGCACTCGATAGTTGGTTGGGGGCTGGAGGTCATGAGGCAGCTAAGCGGATCTCGCCTGTGCCATTTAGTGAACTAGTTTTCCTTGATAGTTTTCCTCAATGCCTGGCTCATGCAGAAAATTCCTCAATATAATGTTAATTATTTTATAATTTACCTACTTTCCCGTTTTATAGACACTGTCTGATGATGGCAATATTATTATTGTTATCGTGCCGGGGTTCTATAAAGCCCAGAACACCCTTGGCTCTACTCATCGTTAAATTGCAGTTAAATTTCTTTCTCCCCTTGTGGGCTAGTGAGTTGCATATGGCAGGGCTATAATTAATTATTACGAGTGCTGGCCTGGCCAAAGCTGTGGCTGTGGCTCATGCCAAGCTTCCCCTCATCACTCGGCTAATTAGCCGAGTTGGAAGCGTGAAAAAGTCGTATATGTTGGCTGGCAGTTGCATCACCACTGCCAGCAGCAGGAGGAGGAATGCAACTCATGCGAAAAAGATCGCAAATCAGACATCGGACATGACCTAGCCACCATAGACTTGGCTAACGGGGCTTTACCCTCTATAATTAAGCACAAAACGTCGGTATTTGTCTAAACAAATCAAAGGAAATACCAAAATCGAAATAAATCTCAGTCTTTAGCCTCGTTTGCAGTTCTAAGTCGGATTGTCTTTCGAGAAGAAAGCGTGTAAATTCAACTGGCAGCGAAAGTAGCAGAGAGCTTGTATTATTATTTGTATGCAAATTAGCGAACCTCTGGAGCCCAATTCTTTTGTTGGCAATGTAACAATTATGCTTTCATCTTTCAAGCCAAGACTCTGCTTTTTTTTTGCCAAAAAAACAAAGCCAAAGAGACACAAATCTATTTAACAATGTGTTAATTACACGCGGTCACAGTTCTATAGCCGAGTTCCACCATCTAGCCACCATCTAGCCTCTATCTTGGTATCTAGCTATCTAGCCTGTGGTAACCGTAAACAAATCTGAGCTTAATCGTTAATTTATGATTTTTGTAGCGGTAACCGACAGCCGGCAATCAAGGCCCAACCCCGACGCTTGACGCTCCGCTGATCAACAATCATCATCAGAGCTGGCCATCTGACCATCTGACCATCATGGGTAGCTCATAAAGTTCGAGTGCTGGGGATGAGTTTGATTCGATTTTATGACCTCTTGGTGGCCCATTAACATGCGGGATGGCCCGATGGCCTGGCAATGAATCGTAATTAATGATCACTTTTCACTCAGCGCTTTTCAATTCATTTCGTTTACTGTGTGGAATATTTCCAAGGGCTCTACAGCAGGTGCTATGATGCTATGATGGGTGTGTGTGGAAAGATGGATTAATTTTCATAATTAATTTAAGCACCTCACTCTCTATATAATCTTTTGTTTGGACAAGAAAATCCTGTGTCGAAAGAGAGAGGATGCTTGGCCTAATCAAAAGTAACATCCATGGGAACTATTCCCAGAGAAAGGCTAGAGTCTAGAGTCTTTACTTTCGCCAGGGAGCCCAGGTCTGTTTAATCCCAACTTATTCTCAAATTCCTAGCAACATTCCCCCAGAGTAGTAGTGTAATCGCATCCCATTCACAGCAGAGTTTACTTAAAACGGCATCAAACGACACTAACCGCACAAAAGCAGTTCGATTAATCTTCAGATCGATTGGAGAAACAATTAAAGTCTTCATTAGACTGGTCGTCGGGGTCTTTGCAACCCATTTAGGTGCGGATATGTGACTGCAATTTTAATTAGGCACACGACCAACCGACCGACAGGCTCACCCATGTCCAAGTAAAACATTTTCATTTACTTTAATTCTTTTCTTCTCGTTTCAGGTAAGTCCAAGTTAGTCTAAGCTTGTCCAAGGCTGGTCTTAGAATCATCTTAGAACCGCGAACCACCTCCAACCAAGAAACCCGGTTTCTTTTTTGGTGAGTTTCTTTGGGTAAGTGAGTTGCTCAACCTGTCGATGCTGGCTAGTTGGCTAGCTGGCTAGTTGGGATCTAGAAGACCCGGCTATGTTTGTATGTATGTCGTCTTCTGAATCGATAGCCGATCGCACTATGGCTATATGGCCATAAATTATGTCGTTGTTTGCACAGAGAGTTGAGTCGAGTCATCCCGATCCGGTCCCCACAACCAATCATCATTGTTAGGTGCACATCAAAATGTATAGGTCAGTAGTGGCAACAAATTGCCAGGCATTCCGATGCCGATGCCTGTCTGCCCAAATCATTGCCAGATTCTCCACTCAGATGCCCTCCATCTTCATGGAGATGCAGTCCTCTACTGACTGTATCTAATATGGCTTGACCAGTTCCCTTGTCCGTGTCATCAAGGCCCACCAAACAAACTGACCCACTCAACAATTGTATTGAAAGTTTTTCAGTTTTGGATTTGGTTTTGGAGGCAGAGAGTTCCCTTACTCCCTCCTTGGGCCGCCGGCTTATGACAATCGATTTGCAATGGAAAGCCAAATGCCTGGAGGCGCTCCATTTATAACAAGTGGCCAGTTTTGGCCAACTATCCGAGGCATACACTCGGAGAAAGGGGTTTAAGCTTCCCAATAAGAGTTGGAAGTAGAAGTTAGACCTCTAAGACCTCTTTCTCTCTGTGCATCTTACAACTTTTTGTGGCTATAACTATTGGTCTTGGTATCTTGGTGGTGTTGTTTTTGTTGCTGCCACTGTGGCAGTACTGCCACTGCCCCTTGCCTCTTGCCACTGTTGTTGTCATTGCCGTTGTCATCGCTTGTTGCTTTGTTGTTATAGTTTGAGAGTCAAGTTGTTCCAATAATTCTGCATTTGACATTCAACGGGGCTTACTTCGGTTCTTCTTGTTTTTGTTAGCTTGGCCCGAAACGGTTTCCGTTTATTTTCCATCCCGAGATGTCTCTGTCCCTGGCTTCTTGGCCCATTGTCTTGCAACAAAAACAAAAAAATGTATCTAGCTTGACAGGCGCTGCAGCCTTTCCCCTTTCCCCTTTTGGTGGCTAATGCTAATTAGGCCAGAGAATGGGTCATATTTTGTTGGCCAGGAGATTGGTGGCCAGCTAAGCTCTCTTACCTTGTTATCCTTGTTGCCTGCCGCCAACTTCTGCTGGTAGTACTCTTCCCGGGCATTCGTGTTGAGGCTGTCGATGAGCGCCGAGGCATTCACATGACCATCATAGACCATGCTGTCCTGCTGGCTGCCGTAGGTCGAGGGACTGGCGGCTGCTCCTGCCGCTCCAGCAGCTCCAGCCGCCGCAGCTGCCGCTGCCAGGGGAATATTGGCCTGTGGAGTCCTGGTGTACAGCTGCTCGATGGGCAGGGCGGGAGAGGCCGAGTTCGTGGTGGCCGAGGGAATCGCCGACGAGGAGGACGACGCTCCGGAGGATGAGGAGGACGACGAGACACCTATCGAGGGAGTGACCTTCTGCAGGGGCTTGGATTGCTGCTGCTTCTGCTGGAAGCTGCTGGTGGTGGCCAGCTTCTGCTTCTGCTGGGTGGTGCTGGTGGCCGCCGAGGTGGTGGAGCTACTCGGCTTCGAGGCCGCCGCCGCATTGGCAGCCGCTGCACTCACGCTGCTTGGCCGTTGACCTCCGCGCTTCAGGGCGGCGGTGACCTTGTGGGCGAAGGGTCGTTTCGTGGCCCGGTTCTTCAGCTTGCCCATGGTGGTCAGGGTGCGCTGCTGGCTGCCCGCATTGGCGGTGGTGGTGGTGCTGCTCCCGTCGGTCTCGTCCGCCGCGGTGATCGCCGCAATGTTGTTATTCGAGCGGGCGGCCACGAACTGGTCGTCGGAGTCGGTGGAGTCGGTCAGGGACTCGTCGCTGGTGGTGGCCTGCTCCGACTGGGTGGTTAGGTTGAGGGAGGTGGTCTCTCCGGCCGCTCCCTCAGTGTCCTCGGTGACCTCCGACTCCTCGGTCTCCTCCTGCTGGCTCACATCCGTGGTGGTGGGCAGTTCCTTCATGATGGTGCTCATCGCCGCCTGCTCGTTCATGGTGTTCTGCAGCTCCAGCAGGGTGGTCTCGTCCAGGATCAGTGTGGGATCGGTCTCCGCCTCGGTGGCTCCAGTAGGCGACAGGGTGCTCTGATCCTGCTCCTGATCCCGTTCCGTTCCGGCCTCGGTTTCCGCCTCCGGCTGCTGCTGGGCCGTCGTCGAGGAAAAGGAGGGACTGGCCCTGGAGGAGGTGGCCTCCTGCCGGTTGAACTGCTGCTCTTCAATGTCCAGGGACTCCTTCAGTCGCGCCACTCGCTCCACGATCCTGGCCAGCATGTCCTTCTGCTGCTCCGGCAGGTTCTTGGTGTCCAGCTCCAGCAGGCGATCGTACTTCCGTATGTTCCTCTTCACAGTCTCGATGTCCGCCCGGGTCTTGGCCGACTGGCCGGTCAGGCTGGGATTGGGATTCGGCTGGGAGCGGGGTGACTCCTGGAAGTAGGTGCGTGCCCGACGATTGCTGTAGCCCACCAGTTCGATGACACCGGGATAGTCCGACGTGGAGGCGGCTGCCAGGGAAGCGAAAGCCATTAGGGCCAGAAAGCAGCACCAGGCTGCACTAAACCGCACCATTTCGATCGAGGTTCCTAGAGAATATTGCCTAGATGTCTCCTATACCTATTCCTATGGTTTGGGGGGATTTATCTTTTCACTCGCGATTCACGTTTTTGGGTTTTTATTTGCCAATTTTTAGCGCTTTTCTTGGATATCTCGTATTTCACTCGCCCGTATTAGTGTCAACTAACTGTAACTCTAAAATCTTTGACACACACACATACACTTAGAGAGACGTTGTTCGGATCTCGGGGGGCACACACGCGAGGTCCAGGTGGAATCGGCAGCAAAAGTATCTTTGTATCTTTTGGGTGTTTTCGGCTGGGACTGAGGCACGATCCGTTGACTTCTAACGTCGGATTACAAATGTTCCAGGCCGCTGGCTGGCAGCGTCTTTTAAAAATTTTCAAGCGGAAAACGCGCAGGCGCACCGTTCCACAAACTTTTCTCCGCAACTCGGTGAAAGAAGCGCTCCTCCAAGCTGGGAAGCTCCCAGCCCCGAGCTCCAAGTTCACGGCCAGACCGGTTTGAAGCCAACATGTTGGCAGCCAACCAGAGAGAGAGAGAGAGCCCACAGAGAGAGAGTGAGAGAGAGCGCTTTCTCTAAATGTTGCTGGGCTAGTCGCGAAATGTTGACAAATGAGTGGAGGAGCTGCTTGTGTTAATTGCAACATGTTGCTGGGCCTTCCTTTCGGTCCAAGTCCAAGTATCTGCTGGATACGTATCTGGCAGATAGTTAAGCTCGAGCCCAGGCCCACTATTCAATTAGTCATTCCAGACACACCACCGAGGCCGAGAGAACCAGAACGAGGGACCCAGTTCTCCAACTGCTTTCGCTTCAATGTCAACTTGGCTCGTTTAGTCTGTCATCGATTTGGACTCGAACTGGACTGGAGTGGACTGGACAGACCAGCTAACACTTCTCCCGTGTCTTCTTCCGATCTTCTTCAATCCCCGAAAGCAGCTGAAAAATTCTCTCTAGCACAATTTAGCTAAATGCTATCGCATTAAACATAATTTGTCGCGGCCTTCTTAATTGCACCTCATCGTCGGGCAGATACTTGGAGCAGCTCTCCAATATCGAACCAAACACTCTCACCAGAGACCTTTCTCCCTCTGGGTGATCTATAGCCCCAGATCGTGCTTAGAACTTTTAATGAACTTCTAAAGGTGGCTCATCCATTTCCATTTCACAGTGTTCTCATATTTATACCCTCATCAATGGGGTATTGTTAGTTTTGGAAGTCGGGGGAGAAGTTCTTTGATGATGGGCTTTGAAAAATACTTTCCTTTTGGCTTAAATTCTTAGAAAGAAGAAATACTTTCTTCCTTAGTATATTACTAATGTATATAGTATATTATATAGTATAAAATATTTAATATATTACTAAAGATTACTGAAGTAGTCGAGCCCTTGCTTGGGAGTCAAACCTTCTAGTTTCTATCTAATAGAGAGAGCATTACTTAGTCTAGATATTTTTCTACAACCACTTCTTCAAGTCTAGAGCCAACAATTTGGCCTTAAACAATATTCCTACAGCCTGGGAACTGGCAATAAAACAATAACAAATAAACTAATAAGAAAACATTGCCAACTCTGAACTAAAGTGAAGCTCAAGTTCAGGGGAAAGACGACCATGGTAGACTATGGTGAAGCTTCCCATTTTTCACGTAGCCGCGCAATAAAAGAAACTGAGCGTTAATTAAAAAAATAGCCATAGATCAATGCACCTGATAGATGCGGGAAATGTTTGTTCTACTGCTGCTGTTGTTGCCACAGTCTTGTGTTGCTGGTTGCAAGTTGCTGTGTGTGTGTGTGTATGGACCTAGCCAGCGGCAAATGTGGTGTAATTTGTGAGAAAGAGGCTGGGCTCCTTAGCCCTTTTCAAGAGCCACCTCTAATGGTGGGTAGGTAGAGTCGGAGAGAGACCCGGGAGCCATTTGGAGGGTAAGATGGCCAAGAAGAATGGAGAATGGTTGACAAGGCTGCAGGCGCTTCCTTCATTAGCATGGAATGGGTTGGGTTGGGTTGGGTGGAAAAGTGGTTTGCTTTTGCGCCTCTGACACACATAGGGTGTTTTGGAATTGTAATCGTTATGGGATAAGTGCTGGAAGAATACATCCTCTATAGGATGTTGCTGCTGTTGCTGCTTCTGAGATGAGTGGGTGAGATGTTGCGTGGTTGCAAGTTGCAACTTTCTTCGCTCTTATCTTTTGTGCATATGCAGCAGCAACGCAATGGCGGCAGCGGCGTCTGCATTCTTTGCTTCCTATAAAATATGCGATCTTGCCACAAAAGCAGCAACTGCAACAACAGTAAGAGCAACAGCAACAGCATCACCAGCAACAGCAACTTCTGCCAGCCAGCAACTCTTGAACTTTACTGAGCTATGAAAATGCTTTTGCCCTTTTTCCATGCTGCCTCTTCTTATTTTTACTGCAGGCTGCAACTGTTTAGCATGAGCTGGCTTAAATGTGTAAGCGAGATGGCCTACCAAAAGTTAGAGCGAGATGGGATGTTGCAGCACGATGCTGGATGCTGCAGCTTCTGCTGCTCAAGTGCCAATAGCAATCTTCTTTTTTTTTTGTTTTATTTTTTTTTCTTCTTGTAGCCGCTTTTCCTCCTGCCACTGCCGCTGCCACTGCTGTGTTGTTGTTTATTTCCCTCTGGCTTGATCTTTTGGTCTTTGGCGGTAATTTTTCCTGTGCAACTTTTTACTTTTGGCCAACACAGAGAGAGAAAGAGAGACTTTATTGCCTTCTCGGGCATCCTTCTCTATTTCGGTGCCATTTTGGCCATAGCTGTTGCTCTTTTTATCGGACCGAGTTTTGTCTTCATTTTTATTTTAATAGCGATCTTGATACCGAAACTCCAGACTCCGAGACTCCTGCTTCCCCGGTATCTTGTCTTTATCACATAATGATTTCAAATGGTGCGAAATTAATTTGAATTATTACTGTTATTAGATGTTATTTGTGTAATGGTCGGTGCCTGATCGCAGCCCCGAAAAAAATCCAACTACTAGAAGCTACAAGCATCAGATGTTGCAAGTTGCTGCCGTGAATTATGCAAGACGTGGCTGGCACCCTGATAAGCCATGAGATTGCCTGAGAAATGGCCAGCTTGTATTACCAATTCTCGTTGCCTTTGTTTGTTGGCCACATTTAAATTTATTAAAACTGCACTGCAGCTGGTAACGGGCAACGGGCCAACGCATGGAATGTTGCAAGTTAGTTGCTGTTGCGTTCATTGACCAAGGTGATCTTGTTCCTCGGACTGGCGCCTCGGCACACATCGCAATTTGCCATTTTAGCAATTTTGCATGCAATTTGATGCCATTTGTCATTTGCTTAATTGTGCCCAAGCCGTGTTCTGCCGCACTTCCTGCCAACTTCTAGTGCTTCTAGTGCCGGCCTTACCGTTTCTAATTGTGGCAAGGCACGCAGCCTAGTGCAGCCTGCTGCCTGCTGGTGGCTGCAATCTGCGGACTCGAATCCATTTAGTTTCAATTAATCAAGTTGTCGCTGCACGCGTCTATTAGCTGCTTATGACAAGTGTTCTATGTTCTTCTTCCAGATGGAGTAGAGCTGGCCTCGGGAGTCCGCTTGCCACTCATTAGCGGCGCCCCCGAAGTGGTGGAAGGAGAGAGCCTCCTGTAGCAGTTGCCGCTACTGCCTGCCGGCTCTTACATCTTTGGTTTTGACTTTTAAAATGTGTCGATTTAGTTAGTACCTTATAGGGAATTATATAGGGTATCTTAAATGTTTAAAACATATTTGTTATAAAATGTTTCTTGTCTACACGATAATAAACACTAATCATATACATCATAGAGCCATTATCGCTCCACTACCGTTGATCATATTTATTCCGAAATTCAATTAATGCACCACAATGATGCTCTGGGAGTCATGTTGCATGCCTTGTAGCCTTTTAAGTTGCAACTAATTCCCGCATTTAGAATGTGAGTAGATTCATAAGCGGGTATCTGGCAGTCGGAATGCCTCTGCCTCTGCCTCTGATCCACTGCCATTTGTGGTAACTTTTTTTGGTTACCATAGTTTCGTAATGGGCCAGTTCTTTAATGTCCCACTTTGGCTTTATGTCCAGGTACCGTTGCATATGTGCGGGGGAAATGGTTAAAGGCTTTATTTTTTTTGGTTAAAGATTGCGCCAGTTTATTGTTGCGCCCAGCTGTCACAGGTTCATTGACTCTGGCAGTGTCAGTTGGTGTTGAAACCATCATGTCCAACGACGACCAGTGGCTTAAGAATTGCATAATCCAAGGCATCTAAAAGACTCCTCAGAGATTCTCCGGACTGGACTCTGGAGTGGCTTTCTGAGGTAATTACCATTGTCTGCTAAATTGATTTCGAAATGCTCAAGCCCCGGTAATTTTCGGTGGCTCAGGATGTGAAGATGTTTAGATGTTTTGGCCAGCAGTTGGCAGTTTGGGCCTGGTGAGCTGGCAATTGTGGGTCAGAGACGGATTTGAAACGCCTTTTAAGCCACCAGATGGGATTAGGAGGGGAGTTCTTAATGGCCAAACAGTTCTAACTGTTTTCGAGCCAAGCTGTTAAGTTTGGCAATCATTTGGGAAGTATCTTTTGAATAATATCCCTTTAATAACCAAGTTTACTGAATACCATTAATACTTCTCAGATGTATAATCAATTAAGATCTATCGATGGAGTGCTCTTAATCTTTAGAGATTCCTTGGCTCTACAAATGGCTGCGATTACAACAAATTCGAAATGCCACTGACTCTGCTGACTTTCTGGCAACTGGTTCGGCCTCCTCATTTTTATTTCACTTATTTCCCGATTATGATCCCTCTCGATCCGCGATCCACGATTCCAGATTCTCCAGATCCTCTCCAGAGCCAGTTTCAGTTTTCGCCAGTCTGTGAAAGCGGCACCAGTCTGACTAGAATTTATCTCTGGCCATATACCCCACCATAGGTGTATGCACACGCATTAGATAAGCCAGGTGTGTATTGGAACCAGTTGCTAGTTGGCTTATCGGAGGATTGAATCGGTGGCAGGCGGTAGGAGGCAGGAGGCAGGAAGATAAAACCGACACCCCCCACGAACTAATTGCGCCTCATTTCCATTTATCGCGATGCGTTCAGGTCCCTGCGAATGAATTACGGCTGGAAACTGAAAACAAATTAAAATCGTGGCAGTATATAGGTTCTTGCGTGCTTTTGGCTTTCTGATTTCAGATTTCAGAGTTTTAGCCAAGTGTTGTTGCCACTTGTTGCGCCCGTTTACCAAATGCAATTAAATCCGTGTCGTGTGTGTTTGTGCAACAATTGCAACTGTGCCGCATAATTGTGCCAAATGAATTTGTAATTATGTATTTGGTTTGAGACTCGGACACGCCATGCAATCTGA